AAAAATACTTGAAACATGTACCTTCTACATATGTACATACATACATATACATTTATTAACCAACAAAGTATTTAGCATAAATCTACAGCGAAGAGTTTTTCACAATTAGGGTGCAATAAACACTAAGACTCTGAATTTCAATCAGTCAGCACGCTGGCGCAATTTTATTCGCAATTGCTTTTAAGCGCCAATGAAAGTATGCATAACTGCCTACCTATCAACCCTGTTTCAGCTGGTCTCCTATGCGGAAAAGTATATACATACATACATACATACGTATGTATTTTGCGTAGGCCCCATTTGTGCGCACCTAGTTCTTAATGGACAAACTTTTCGTTGCGCGAAACTTTCTAAAAATATATTTCCAGGAACATGTTATAAATATTGTAAGCGATTAAGTGAGCGCTGCAGCGAAAATAAAAACTAAACGCAAGAATAATGTACATACATATATAGCTCCGCAAGCAACATAAATAACAGCGCTATGCATAATTCAGCGCTCTACATGGCGTATACTCAACATTTAAGGCGCACAACTTGGATGTACGTACCTTAAACATTTGGAAGCGATTAGCAAAATGAAAACTTTTTGTGGGTTGTGGGCTTGGTGGGCTAGAAATATACACAAAACGTACAAAATACAAAAGCAAACAAGCCAAGGAAATAAAGCAAAACAGGCAAATAGGAGATTGACTTGAACTGCGCATTTTTTGCCATGGACAAATCGAGTGGCAACTCTCCGGGTCACAATGTGGTTTCTTCGCAACCTTTTCGGTGCAGTCAGTTAAGCCACAATAATTTTGTAAAGCTTTTTGGCAAACTTTGTCCAGCTGACAAAGCCGGCTTTGCGCTAATAAATTTGCTGCAAATTACAGTCAGATTTGAAGTTTTTCCTTCTCGTGTTGGCCAAAAATGGGAAATGTGTATCGTTTAGGACTTTTCCAGCGCTTTTATTTTATGCACATAATTACCTTTTCTTGCTCATTTTTCATACTAACCGATTAGCTTTCATTGCCGCAGGTGAAGCGCTCAGCGGTTCCGGCTCATCGAAAACTTTGACGCTGCATGAAGTGGAGCAGGATCATACACCGACAAAGGATAAACATTTAATCAAAATGAAACGAGAACACAAGGCTGCAAGAACTTTGGGTATAATTATGGGCACATTCATACTCTGTTGGCTGCCATTCTTCCTTTGGTAAGTGTGACTGATGGCGAAATTTTGTGGTTACTTTTATATGTTTACAAATACTTTGGTTTTTATGAATACAAACCAAGTTGCGAAGTAAAACAAAGTGCCGCTGTGTTTACTTTTCTTGATTTTTGTGTGCCAAAGTTTGGTATTCGACTGCATTACCGAGATTTATATTCGAGGTTTTGCACAAACAAAGGTTTTTCGTAATTTACTTGAACCTGGTAGACGTACATGGCGTATGAGTGATATCAGTTCAGCATAATGAAAATCTATCTCTCCAAACTAGCGAATAAGTTTATTTGCACTGCAAAGAAATCTGAGCTGATCTAAAGTGTAACAATTTGCTATCCCCTCATTCCCACCCACTTTTTTTTGCGCTATCCTTAATTTTTCTTACACCCTTGCCATATCGCTTTACTTTCCTTTGCTTTATACTTTTTGCCAAGTCAGCATATCAAATTATAGATTGCTGTACAAAACTTTCAGTATTGCAGTTTGCATGAACTGGGATAGTTTTACTTTCATCAATTTGCTTTCACTTCCAATCTAACGCTACTTTCCCACTTTCCTGTAATCCGAAGCAATGGAGCTCTTAAGCCAATGCAAAACAATTAAAAAAATATATAATTATATATGTACATTAGACTGCATCACTCCCCATACAAAAAAAAAATCGCTACTATTTTTCCATTGGAATTATAAAATCTATTATATTTTAAGACGTCCGTCCACCAAAATATTTCAGAAAAATATTAAGATTTAAGTGAGCTGGATCTAAACTGGTTTTTCACTTATAATTCAAATTTCCCTTTCGCTGATTTGTAAACAAAGGTTTATTTACAAGTTTAAAAATTTAAAAAAATTGTGAACGGAATTGTAATGATGAGATTTTTGATGTTGTTTTCTAACTTGTTTTAAAGATTGGTATAACAAAAACTTGAATAACTGAACCTAAACTCTTCCGATTTAGACTTAGGAGGTGTCATTAGAAAGGTATTTTCCCTACCTTTTTATTTCTTTGCTAATAATGATGATGAAACGTCATTCAAAGTTGAATTACGATGTGTAGGTATTTGAAAAAAAAAAATATTGGGACACGAATGACTTTTTTTTTTTGGACAGAAATAAAAACAGCTTAATCTGTTTTGTCATCTCAGGGGACTTTTTTCAAAAAGTTCTTTAAGAAACTATTTTTNTTTTTATTTCTTTGCTAATAATGATGATGAAACGTCATTCAAAGTTGAATTACGATGTGTAGGTATTTGAAAAAAAAAAATATTGGGACACGAATGACTTTTTTTTTTTGGACAGAAATAAAAACAG